AATTATCTGACAGACCGTCGATTATCTCGGTTGGAAAATATAAGTGATGCAGTAGTTCCAGAAACTCATCAACCGAGATTCCTTGTTTCAGGCCAAATGAATAGTTTTGAAATTTCTCAGTTTTCATGTTACTAATGATCGAATCAAATACGACAGAACTTTCACAGAGAAACTACAAAAATAATCTGTTGTTTTAAGCTGAAACGTTTGAAACCTCGCTATGACAATGAATTTTCTCCTGTTTGATTGAGATAGTCACATCCGACTCGATGCAATTCTGGCTCATGAAATCAATAGGGTTGAACTTTCTGAACGAGAAACAAAATGAAAAAGTAACACAAAACAGAAGAGAACCTGAATCCTACAGTTCTCAGATTAGAGATTCGAACTGTTATAGGAATTCCTCCTTCCATATTTAAATTTTGTAAGACAGTTTCTTCTTGTATCGAGTTTCTCTGTAACTTACACAGAAGAGTTCCAGATAGACGACAATCCATCGAGATGTTAATGAATGACTTCTGACAAACAAGATATATTATTCGATTGGATATCTTCAAACCACACATTTTCAAGAAAAAAATCTGTTGTTCCTACTGTAAAAGTGACATCAAACATAACCTTCCATCGAATTCCTCTCCTAACCACACTGTGCTGAGATTCACCGTACAGGTAGAATGCTAAACCACAATGTTCTAGCACAGCTTCGACAGACCTATTAATGATCGATGCCACATTATAAAAAATAAAAGAAATATTAACCAGTAGTAGTCGCTGTAGTCATAACATGGAGAAACTTGGTTTATTGTTGAAGCATGATCAAAATGACGCAGACCCCCGAAAACGTAGGAGAAGTTGAAGCTCATGCTACTACGAAGAAGAAAGTTAGCAGGATTTCTACAACGACAAGTGTTTTGAGCTTTGCCACGATCTTCCGCGCCAAGTCGTAATTTTAAATGATTAAATAATAACGTAAACATATACTGAAAGCATTTCAAATGTTTACCATCTACCGTTTGCGGTGGTCAAACCATCAAGAACACTTGCCCTATCAAAGATTCTTTCACAAAATTGAAATTGCTATTGAGTTAACCTTCGTTGCGAACATCTAAAACTTTCATCATTCTGGATGTTTTGAGACCGCTCAACTGATTTGAACTTCAACAAAATGAAACTCCGGACATTTTCATTGTGAACCTCTAGGATGAGTTAGCGGTTGGTCATGACGAAACAACAGTGCTTGTGAAATATGGCAATCGTTTGAATGAATATGTTCATCAGATTGAGACTCTTTCTAAAACATTTAATTTAACAGTTTATTCATAGAAATCTATTACATTGAGTACAAAGGAATGAGGAAATATGACAAACTACTCGGACAAGGCGCTCCCATTAAAGCAAAATATGTTTGGTAAGATAAATATCCCGTGGGTTGTTCAAGGATCGAAGGATTAAGAATAATAAACATTTTGATTGAAAAAATGTGTTTGAACAATCAAGTTCAGAACTGTATCCCATTGGGAGTCATAAGCATTCGAAACGTTTAGAAAGCGATTGGTAGAATTCAGATGAGAAAGAATTTCAAGCTTTTTCCACAAACAAAAAAACGATTTGAATGTCAAGAGATCAATGAACAATTTGAAATCACTTAAGACTCATTAGAAATAATAGTGAAAAGGAGATAAGCGTAAGCTAAGAAGATGTAAAAGAAAACAATTGATCTGATAGAATTTCAAACGCTCATGAAGCTGCATGAACATCTGTCCGAGTTGTTATCTAAACTGTCTAGAATATGAACAAAGGAATACAATGAGAGATTGGCAAACTACTCCCTAGATGTATAACCCAACTTAAAACAATTCTCAATAAAATACTGTATGAATGAGAAAGGTATAATGAGGAGATATCATGAAACATAATTAATTAATTATATATATATATATATATATATATATATATATATAATATTGATTAACAATCACTATCATTTACAACATACAACTTATTAAAGTAGAAGTAATGATGAAATTAGATGAAAAAAAAAGTTATAAAAGTGACAACGAAACGATTGGTGGGTGATTCGTAGTTCATACTCTGATAGAGGTGCATCATGAATCGTATAAACTATATCATCCTTAAGATTGATAGAGGAGATTTGATGATCAAATTTTGTTTTTGAATGAAAAAAAAATAAAATAAAAAGAACAATTCAAGTATAACGTCGGCATATATAAATAACCAGATAGTTTATAGTATGATTGGCAGGTATGGTATGTAGATAGATCAGAGATATTCTTCTTCATCATGTTCTTGGATCGTACACATATCAAAAGCGTCCTGAAATAATCAATAATCTATATATTGTATTGTATAGATGCTTTTTCAACTTGTTAGATTTGGTGGAAAAAAACACAGACAAGGTGAATGAGAGACGTTAGATTCAAGATTGACATGCTTGTTTTGCATGCAAGTTACGACCAAAAATAACAGGCAAGATTAGTTTTGACAAGAAAATATGAAAAACCAAACGAATATTCCACACGGCACATTAAAAGTCAAATGCCTCACCAATTTCTTAATAAGATAAGCACAAAACAAGTCAGATGGTCATCAAAGTTGCGACAAACTGACGATTTTGACAATTTCAAGATAAGGCAGACAATCCTAGTTGGAACAATTGTCCTCTGCTCTTGTCCATTGTCTCTCGTAATCTTGTCAATATACGCCAGTGTCTACTGATTTGATGACACAATCAGTTTTGGCTTCATCTCAAATACTCATGAACTAGCTATTTCCAGTACTAGCTATACCACAAAACGATGTGGTAGAAGAGGACGGGGAGAGCTAAATGGAAACTAATTTTATGGAATTATTATTAATAAGTTCTTCTTTTGATTACAGGGAAAAATCTATAGAAGAGGGTCGTTAGGGTCAGTTTATAAACAAAGGTTATCTTCACCTCCACATCAGAACCGATTGAAGGGCTTCGTTTGAGAACATCTGGACTATCACTATTTGAGCTTTCCTCTTCAATTATGCCGTTTCCCAATCCCGCAACTAAATTGAATATTCATTAGTCTCTTTCATATAAAATGAAGTAAACAAAATACCTGAGCTGGAGCTGGAAGAATCTATTTCTTGTAACCATTTTTGGTGATTATGCTTAAGATTTATCATCATCTCAGGCTCGACTAAACCAGGTAAAACGGGTAGTAAACCAGCCTACAAACCGATAGGATAACTCAAGACAGAAACCATTAAGAGCTTACTTCATTCATAGCAACAGCCAAGGGACTTACAACATGAGCGATAAAAGAGTCTTGTAATTTGGCAACTTGAGCATCATCTCGATCCATATATGGTGTCACAGTCATATTCAACTGCTTCTCTTCATCTCCTTGATTATAAAATTCATCACAGATACGTTCAGTCCATTGACGATGTAATGGATAAGGCTTGCAGGGACTATTAATATCAGCCATTTTGATAATCATTTTCGATATTAATAAACGATCAGACTCGTTTGAAAGCTCCATGTCTGTCGTCTGCAATGATAATTACAATAAAATAAATAATAAGAATCTCTACTTTCTCGTTGAAAGTCATGATTATCTCGAAATGATGCTTGAGATCAGTAGCTAATATGTATTCCAACACCAGATACCTTAACAGTCAGAGGATAAGAACATAGAGCATGAATTACTCACCGAAATCTTTTGGTTTCTGCAGCATCCAGGTTTTCGATGAAGTTACATCCTTTCGAGCATAAAAGCCTCCACGATTCAGCTGCATGATGATTTTCCAGCACCGAACGATCATTATAAAGAATGGCTTTTTGATCTTCACAAGCTACTAAAAAGGCATTTGTTCTTCCAGGATGATCATAATCATGCATGGCAGCAGCAGTATATAAGGCCATTAACTGCAATGATGATGATGATGATGAAGATGAAAGAAGAAGAATGAGTTATTACCTCTAATGTGCTCATACTCGCTGACATACTTTGAGCAGGAGGAAGAGGTTGAGGAAGCAAAGAATCTGGAGAAGCTGAAGGACCAAACGAAGGACGAACTCCATGACATGTCAGATAGTAACAGCCATGTAACACGTCCGCAGCATGTATTCGGTTATGATCTGTCAAGTAAGCAGATGAAAGTTGATCTGACTGTATTGGACTTACATGGAATATCCCAATATCCTTCTTCTAAACTATGGAAATAATTAAAGAACTTTATTGGACTAATTTTGAAAATTCGGAACAAATCGGCTTGTTTGAATATTGTGTAAGTTAACTGAAACATGTATTGTAAGATTTGAATAAGAAGAATCATCTCATTACCCTGCTTAGAATTGTATTTGGGAAATGAGCAGCCATGTCAAATATAGGCAAAGACCAATCTACTATCATCTTTAAATCTCGATCTTTATCAATTTCAGCTGTATCGAATTTTGCCTGATCCATAGTTGTTACAACTGTACTAGCTTGAGCTCCTTGGAATGTGCTGAAAACCTCTGAGTAGACTACTATTATATTTCATTACTCACTTGGCATCATCGTTGTTACATGAATTGGTTCTTCTCGTTTGATAGGTCGAGCTGCACGATGAAGTACCTGCAAATTGAAAAATAAACGAAATAAACAACTTTTGTTTTCTTTTATACATTTTCACAAGAACAACAAAAACTCAAAAATCCATAATAATGTTCAAGAAAACAACCTGGTGCATGGCTGGTAGCTGTGGTATTGGATCGGGCGAATCGACTTCGGTTGGAATTCGATGTAGATGTTGTTGCTGTTGTGATCTTCTCACTTATTCGATTCAAAGAGCTGTCGCGAGCAGATTCACGTGATGATGACAATCCATCATCGCGGCTAAGGCTGTTAGATCTTGAATGGTCTCTTGTACCCGTTGAAGCAGGAGATGAGTCGGGACGCCAGTAACTGTAAAGAAATGTATTAAGATGCGATGATTGATATGTAAATGAATTATATTTCTTTTTCTCAATACAAGTTGATTCATCCCTTGTCACTCATTAAAGCTTATATAGTATGCTGAGATACGGATCGAATACGAAAACGACCCACATCTTTAATGGATGTTAGTTACCTAGCAAAAGCTTCAATTGGATTAGGGATATTGGCTAAATCACGTTGTGCTGCATGAATTTTTCGAACAACAAAGACGCCAAAAGGCTGTATTTCAGTAGTGGGTTGACCCGAACTTCTATTATTCATCACATTCCAATAACCTTCTAAAGGAAATGTAAATTAAAGCGAACGATGAGAACGAAAACAAAAAAATGTCGAGAGTAAGTGAGTTCTAATGGGATTTGTTACTTTTATATGAAAAGAAAAGATTTCTAAGGTCGAACAGCTGCTAACCGCTGCCTTAAGACTGAAGCTTCACGAGATATGCTAATGAAGATAATTGGCAACAAAGAGACAATTTTTATTTTCTTTCAAATAATTATTGAAACAGGAGTAGAGAGAGAGAGAGAGAGAGAGAGGGAATGTGAGAGATGAAGTGAGAAAAAGAGGGAGAAGGCTACCACAGCCAAATAAGAGGTCGAACATTACAAGATTTCTCATTTAGAGCTGAAACAACTAGAAGGCTTAGAAGTCTGGAAAAAAACTATTTTTTGAGCAAACGATATGAATCAGATGGATTATTAAACAACAATCCTATTACTATTGTTACAAAACGAAAATAAATTTTATAAAAAAAGAAAAAAAAATAAAATATTGATGAAAACGGAAAGTTAAAAGGCGAAGAGAGCAAGTGAGTGTGCATGGAAACTTCAAACAATAAAAATGCGTTTTGTGTCTCATTCGAGAGTTCAAAATGTTCATTTTTACGTTTTGAAAAGTCAAAGAAGAAACAGAAGCAAAGTAGGAGGACGAAGATGATGCTGATCATCATCATCATCATCATCATCATCAGTGGAACGAGAAGAAGATGGAAGACGACGAAACATTGTTTGTAAATTAAAGAACAAACGAGTTCAATTAGGCGAGCACTGAATATGCTTTGATGGTAGAGAGGAAAATGAAATGAAAAAAACAAAGAAAAAGCTGAAATAAGAGATGAAGGTAAGTCTCATATTCAAGTAGATGCTTAAATAAGCAACGAAATAAAGAATTTCGTTTGTTTGATTAAGAAAAGATAAGTTAAAACATACTAACGTAATCTAATAGTTATATAAACCAATCATTCTGTTTGTTTTTGACATTAAAATTCATGTAATTCCTTTAGAACAGCCTCGAACTTTCTCTTTTTGATCCATTGAGTCAGAAGAAGTAGATGAAATTCATTTTCATGCTCAATTGCCTCAAGGCACATTTGGAAGAAGAAAAAAACGGCAAAGGAAACAAAAGCCAGAAATAGGAAAATCATGTGATTGCAAAACCGACCGAAAAAAACCTTTTTTTTTTCCTTTTTTTTTTGAACTGATGAAGTAGAGAGAATGTGGCAACAAAGACGATTACAACAAGAAATTTGAATTTTGAAGCAAAAATGACCGGAAAACTTGAATAAATATGAAACTCTATGTGGAAATAACAAAAGAAATGGAATAATTATAATATTCGACTTCGATTGGCTTAATTTATAATTTGATTTAATAGAAAACTCGGAAAACATCAATCTCCAATAAGAGTTCGAATTGAGTATAAGAAGATTGGCTTGCAATATGAAAATGAAGAAGAACAAGATAAAGCACATGCAGGGGAACATGTAGAAGAACAAGAAGAGGATGATTTTAATAATATAGAATGAAATGATAGTTAGCAGCATATAGGATGAGGCCTTGAATGCAACCGTTCTGTGAGTGAGCGCATTGAATGTGAATTCAGATGTATCACATGAGGCTTGAATGAAAAGTATGAAACAAAAACAAAAATGGAAATGGAGTGAATGAGGTGAAATGAACACACAGACACACACACAACAGACAACATGCCAAGTACAGAAGTGGAATCAATCCAATAAGAAAGTACAGATCGTTTGAGAACAAATGAAAGGAACGATTTAAGAAAACAAAACGTTCGCACGTTAATTACGTAGAAAAGTCATTCAACCAACGTTGAACAGTCAATGTTGTCTTAGAAGTCTCAAAAGACACATGTGTTATGAGACATGAGACATGTTTGAACTGAATAACAAGCATAAACAACGAGATACTTTACCGCTACTTGTTGCATTTGCCTCAGGCAAGTATTGGTAACTGAAACTTGCTCCATGTTTATGGAATTATCCAATTATTTTCAGTTTCATATCGAAAAGTTCTTATCTTGTATTCTGTGTTCACATCATAAGCTCTACTTTAGATATTGTACTCGAAATAGTGTAGAAGCCGAAGAAAAAGTCAGACATCCAACAAGCTTGAACAGCTTGAGTATTTCTCCGCCTTCGTGTCCTTCGATGCCTGAGGCGAAAGAATGTAAGAGTACATGAGAGTATAGCTGATTAGCAATATAGGAGCAGAAGAATAGAAAAAAAGGCAAAAAAGGAGAAATATTACTCGCTACAGAGGAGATTCAGAGAAGAATTGGAGTGAATCATCGTTTAGAGAAGACAAACAGATGATAGAAAATGCCTGAAACCGACATCATCTCTTTGGGTATATCTGACCAAAAACCATCATGTACCCTTTTCCCAGAAGACGTAAGAAAAGGAAGTCACTTTAGCTTCTTACTTTATTTTCATAAAATACTTCATCATATGAATTGATTTGAAAAAAAAGACTGACAAGAGCAAAAGAGCAATAGTATACTCAACTGTGTTGGAACTAAATCGTCTGTCAAAGAACAAAAGATTTGTTGTTTGTTAAGAATACATCAAACGAAATAGAAAACGCGTTATCAACACTACACATATTGAACTAATATACTGTTTGAAGTAAAAAAGATTCTACTCTTCCTTTAAAAAAAAAATTGGCCAAAGGATGGAGAAACACAATTTGGGCTTCAAGAAGAAGAGAAGGAGAGGGGGGGGGAGGAAGACAGAAAAGAGAAGCAAAGTGCGAAAGAAGTCTCAATTCATATCGGTGTGGATCAAATCGAAAAACGTGTTGACAGAATGGAAAAAACATTCTCAAAAACTGTTTTCATATTTCATTTTGTTCGTTTGTCTCAATTCATTAGCAGTGAGCAACAGATTGGTCAAGAATTAAGGAATGAAAAAGAGAAGAAGGAAGAAATGAAGAGTGCGTGGGAGGAATTTGCCTATGAGAGTTGTTCCTCTTCCCTATTCTTATCAAACACTTCCTTCAGTCTCTTTATTTCAGAAGAGATGAAGTAAGGTAACTTTGGAGATAAACTAAATTACAAATTCCGGCTGTCCAAATAGAATTCAAAAAGAGTTTGACAGCTGTTTTGATGTTGAGTATAACTAACTAAGTGATACTTCAGAATTTTTGCGACAGAATTCTCGATTTTTCCCAATTTATTTCAAATTTGCATGTGTGTGCATGTGTGTACATGTGTGTGCACGTGTATGTACCATGTGTCTTGTGTGTACTTGGGAGCTCGTAAGCGTATATGAGTACAAGAAGCACAAAAACGTGTTGAAAAGGTACGAAAAAGAACATTGAGAGAAGAAAAATGAGAGAAAAACGAACAAAATTAGCCACTTGGCCTCTTCGACCAACCAGATAATGAGGAAGATTTTTCAAGAATTGGGGAATATCTTAGAGCATAAAAGACAATAAGGATGTGATTTAGAGCTAGTGAACAGCTAAGGAAAATGAAAAGAAGGAAAGATTGTGAGCAAAAAAGAAAACAAAATGAGATTCATTGTGTCGCATCTCATGTGCCATCAGTGACTATTTGATAAAACATATTCAATTGTTTATATTTTTGCTTGCTCAGAAGACTGAATTGAATTGGTGAGAAGAAGAAGGAGGAAGAACACAAAAAAAACCTTTTGCTCATACTTTCATGAAGAAGGAAGAAGCTCATTGCGCTAATAAACGTCTTGATTCGAAAAAAGCTTCAAATACATTTGAGGAGTTGTAAACGAGTCAAAGTTCATGTGAGCATAGCAGTAAATCTCGTTCCAATTAACTTTTCTCCGTTAGAAAGACGAACAAAATACTTTTCAAGTGAGAGAAATTAAATGTGTCCCCAACGGAAAATGTTACGAGACACACACACAAAAATATACAACCAACTTTGTCAGTTTCATATTATAATAATGCCTGAGGGCATCCTGAGTCTCATATCCATCGTGGAGAGAAAGAGGGAGAAAAAAAAGAGAAGAGAATAAAGACTATATGAATGAAGAGAGTGAAAGGGAGATAGAGATAGAGGGAGGGGAAGGGGATGGAGAGGATGAGGATGAGTGTGAGCGAATTTGTCAAATTCTTAAAGGAACATAGAGACAAACAACAATCATCCGTTGTCATGATGACAGCAAGAAGGGGGAAGCAAAAGATGAAAAACTATGATGTCGTTCTTCAATAAGTTAGTCGCTGATGAGACTTTTGAATAACTTTAAAATATAAATGTAAGAAAATAAAAGTCGAAAGACATGACAACTAGTAGAAAGAGAGGAATGAGTTCATCATTCATTCAGTAATGAAATGAAAAGCTTCTATTAAAGGTCCAAAATTAATGGAACAGAGTAATTTGAGGGCAAAATAACGTGCTGAGCAGTCAAGAAAATGTAAATGTGATGATAAAAAAAATTTTTGGGACGAATTCAATAAATAAGTTAAAAGCTGATCGATGATTCGAACCTTCAGTCAAGAAGCTCACACGCATATTTACATAACGAAGAAGATCTCATATACGTAGAAGTTGTGTCCAAAAATATTATAATTAACTAATTATTCTAGTATTCTAATTGTAAGTAAGAATAAGGAAATATATATTTATCTATGCAAAAGATAAAAGAGAAACAGAAAATGAGATGAAAAGAGCTAGGCTGGCGAATAGCAAAAGCTGAGAAAACGTGTAAAAGGCTAGGGGAAGAGGAGTATCCATTTCAGATGATATCATTATAAGTTGAAAATGTCAAAATATGAAGATGTTCAGATGCGATCCACTCATCATTCATATGATTTCTGAACCGTCTAAGCATTCAGAAGCTGAATGGGGGAAAGATGAGAAAAGGAATAGAACGTCTCTGTCGTCGTCAACGTTGAGCTTCAGCAGCTTCAGCAGCTTCAACAGCTGCAGCAGCAGCAGTAGCAACACAAGCAGCAGCCACAAGAATGAGAGTACAAAAATTGAGCTGAGCTGAATAATTTTTAGTATCGCAATTACTTCTTTGAAATGGATTGAAAAACAGGGAATGAGATGAAAAGAGATAGCGACGCTTGCAAATCATTTCAAAAGTGGACAGTTTGAATGGAAGAAAAGCTTCTACAACCGACTGCAATGCTCTTTTAAGGTCAATGAACATGAGATGGGAGTGAGAGAGATGAAGAGACAGAGTGAAAGAAGAGATGTTTTTGACTGTCAAATCATTCAAATCATCGTCACGTTCATATCCCATGTCATCTGAATTTCAACGTTCATGTTAAGGACATACAAATGTTTTCTTTTATCAATCCAAACTTTCTTTCACTTCAACTTCTCATCCACAATTTGCGAATAAAACAACGAATTGTGGTTATGTAGAGAGGGAGGAGGTTAGAGATAGAGAGAGAGAGATAGATAGATAGAGAAAGAGTCGAATAAGGCAGAGGAAAGAGACTTTCACTTGCTTCAAATGTTATCCACAGCCAACCTAAGGGAACAACATTCCTTTCCAAGTCAATATAAGAAATGCAGAATATTCAACAAAGCTAAGTAGAAAAAAAAGGATTTCTAAGCCTAGAATACTACCTACTTCATGAAGCAAAACATTTCTAAAATTCTACAATTCAAAAGAAAAAATCCAAGAAAGAGAGAGAGAGAGAGAGAGAGAGAGAGAGAGAAAGCAGAAGAGAGAGAGAGAGAGAGAGTTGATAGACCCTCTGAAGTTCTTCCATTATTTGAATTTAAATGAAAAATCGACTCTATGCAATGCCTTTATTTGGGAAAAAAGGCGAAAAAAGGAATATCATAAGCATTCGGTTGTTATTGCTATAAATGATAGAAATCACAAAAAAAACAGTTTCTTTCTATTGAAAAAAAAAACTAAAAAATTAGAAATATTGCCGTAGGGAAAGCTATACAGAATTTCCATAAAATGATAAACAAAACTGACACGACGACGAGTACGACGACGACGACGACGATGACGAAGGATATTCAGAAGTTATTGGAAACAAATTGCAAACAAGCCAACGAAGAGAAGACACACACATATATACACCCAAGACGAAGAATGTGGTTCAGAAGCATAGGAGTGACGAGAGGACACAAGAGGGGGTAGAGAGAACTTTGATATGAAATGTTATGAAGATTTTGTGCGTTCGTGTTTTTTAATAAAAGGTCAGAGTCAATGAGAGATTCGAGTGAATAGCAAATGCAGATGTTAGAGAGTATGAAGTGAGAGGGAAACGAAAAAAAGAAAGAAATAATGACCTTTCATTCAAGCTTCTAATCAATTAGTTCACACACCACTCACACCCATACACGTACACACATACGCAGAACGGAAATATTGATGAAGGCATATTTGAGAATCTCAGTTAGATTTAAACGTGTAAACGGCTGACTGTTCTTCCAACACCAAACACTTTGAGATTTTTGCTTTCCGGAGCATATACTGTTCACATGAAAACAGGAAACAACAATATGGATATGGCTATGGCTGAGAAAAGCTGGCGCATAAACAGCTATTCCCTCTCTCTTTCTCTCTCTCTGTCTATGTGTGTTACTTGTTCCAATTTCTATTTTCTGCTATTCTCTTCTTTACAAAACCCTCTCTCTCTCTATCTTTCCCTCTATCCTTTCACTAAAGCTTCTTTCTCGAGAAGTCACATATTCATAAAGCAAAAAGTTGAACAAAAAAAAGTAAAAAAGTGCAGAGGAAAAGTGAGCAAAAATGAAAAAGATTGCAGAAGACATTAGAGATTTTCCGGAGAAACAAACCAACGAAACAAAAACAAATTAACGTCAAAAATCAATTTGAAAACGTTGTCAGTGAGGAGATTGAGAGAAATGATTATAAAATGGAAAGTTCATCAAGTCATCCGATAGTTGTTACTAAGAAACATTCAAGAATACAACATGATGTCAGTAAGGGATGTCTATGTCTATGGATAACAAACGTGAGCCAAATAGGAAAAGCATACATATCATTATTTTTTTTCCTTTTTTTTTCAAAATAGTATACAAGCTTTGAGGATTATATATAAAAAAAAAAGATTTTGTCTCTAAAGTACACCTCTTCTTCCAAAATGCTCAATGTAGTTGGGGCGTTTGAGACTACAAAACTCAACAAAGTCCAGAAGGCACAAGTCCAAATTAAAATAATTTGATAAATAGAAGAGTCATATGAATGAAAACGATATTCAGATGAGAAACTTATTTGTAGAGGATTGCTAGCCTCATACTATTCGTAGCTCTCTCTCTCCCACCCCACTCACACACAAGAGTAACGAAATCGTTTTCAAAATATGATTTTCGACTATGAAATTAAAAAATTTGCTTTGTGAGCTCGTTCCTCTTATTCTCTCGTTAATTAAATATAAAATGAGTATCAACTTGTATGTGACGAAAGAGAATTAAAAAAAGAAAAATCACGTACCTACTGGACCTTGGTTGATTTGGCTCAGCTGCGATTGTTGGAAGACCCGTAGCGCTGGTTACCGTGGAGAACGTGATGTTCGAGACACGAGGCTTGGAACTCTGTAAATGCAAAAATGATTTATCTTTTATGCATTTTCCTGGTTGTCTATTGTTTTGTTTGCTTTTCTCTTAATGCTAGTAGTATGTTCGTCATTCGTGTTAAGACTCAAAGGTCGGCGAGACCAATATTTTCATGTTGAAAGCCATGTTCCGATTGAGGAAATTCATATTGAAAATGAACTGTGTGAGAAGAGGGGGATAATGAGTGATAATGGGAATATGAAATTAATGAGAGAAGAACACGAATGAACGAATGATTCTGATGAAAAAAGATTAAGAAAGAATGTATGAATGTGTATGTATGTGTGTGTGTGTGTGTGTGTGTGTTCGTGAGAGGTAGATAGAGATAGTGAAACGGAAATATGAGAGAGTAAGAGAGAGGAGGCTTACCTCATAATCATGTTGAGTTGTAGATGGATAGGACAAAGAGCTATTTAACGAAACCATGAGCATTTCTGGCAAATATGCGAATAGAATCAGAAAGACTGAACGAAGAAAGAAAAAAACGAAATTTTGAAATTGAAAAAGATAAATTCGTATGAAGATTGAGGATTTAATAAGAAAAAAAAGGAAAAACTTTCTCAGAGAACAATATAAGTCTGGATTATTGTGAATGACAAGCGAGAACTTTGACGAAGCTATGCTGCTAGACGGGATTAACATTGGAAAAGTATAATGAAAGAGAGGGCTGTTTGAAATTAAAAAAAGAAAATTGGGAAATGCGCGCTAGTTCCATGTAATGACGAGGAATATCATAATTAATTCATGATAAATCCTTCATAATATGTGTGAAGAAGATTAGAAGATGCGACATCGATCAATCGTCATGCAAGGCGTCGTCCTCTTTATCCTTGGTCCAAGCTGATTTTCAAACTTCTTCTTGTTGGCTCATGTGCTCAGGTTGTTTCACTTACTAATCGTCTCACAGGTTATAATTTTGGTTGAAAGAACTTGAGTCTGCGTGACTGATGAGAGCTGGGTGAGAATTGAAAAATAGGAAGAGAATGTCGTCATAGGGCAAAAAGGGAAAACGGAAGAAATTAGAAATAAAAGAAAACTGTGCAAATAAGGAGAAACTACTTTAGACAGTCAGAACTGTGAAAAGAGAAAGAGAGAGCGGAAATGCTTTATAAAGAAGCAATGATGGTCAAAGAAAAAGAGCCACGCGCACATCATTGAGGAAGCAACAAGAGACCATAACGTATCAAGAATATGTAAAGATGTGAGAATATGAAAAAGAATCAAAACACGATCTTCAAAGATGCTTGATAGAAGCATTATGAACTTCAGTAATTGATTAGAAGAACTATAGAAATAGAAGGATAACATTAATTCAAATGAAAAGGTTCAAGACGAGATGAAGTGGAAATGACAAGTCCAACGTCAACAAGGAAGAACAGGCAAGAAATGCAAGATGCGAAAGGAAGAATGTCTTAACAAAAGGAATTTAAGATCGAAATTACTTAGTCCAGAGATCTGTAAGCAGATTTTGATATTTGAGAATAATCCTCGAGATGATGATGGAGATGAAAGCAGAGCAAGATTTTCAAACGATGTCAGATGCTTTCTCAATGGCATTGTGTCACTGGTTCAAAGGAGTGGCAGAAACCATATACAACCTTTAACAAGATTGAAACATTTGTTTGATCATTGTCAAAGCATTTTTGAAAAGTAAAGGCTTTCAATGGCCATCAAGGAATTGAATTCGGATGAGAGGATAAGCACAAGCAGCCATTACTTAAAGGTTCATACCATCAGAAGGTTGAGCATTGGTCTCCGACCTCACAACCATGTGATTTGAATGAAAAAGAAACTTTATACAAATCTTCTGATGAATGAGAAAAAAGAAAGAATTTACTCAATTTTTGTAGAAAGTCTCATCGACATTGAGACGAGATGAATGAAAAGCTGCATGAAGAAAGCGAAGAAGAAGGAGAAGATCATGCTATTAGGAAAGAGAACTCAACAACTTGATCAGCTCAAAACATGACAAAGTTCAAAGCAAGTAAACAATATTTTACAGATAAAACAACCATCCAAAATAACATCATTTCTCCTTAAATAACTTGAGGGCGTCTTCCCTCAATGTTCTTTCCTGTTTTTGCATTCCTCCCTCCTCGTCAATGAACTTCAAAGCTTGGAAAAGAAAAAAAGAAGAAGAGTTAAAGCTATTGACCTCAAAGGAAACTACAAAGTTTGGAAGCTCAAATTAGAAATAGCAACAAGTAAGTGAATATCACAAAGAAGAAGAAGAAGTTCGAATTCAGGCGAAGGAGATGGCAGACAGCGTTTTGCATTTGCAAACGGCATTTAAATCATTTCATTAACGTTTATCTATTTGGCAAAACAGTTAAAAATTCATTGAAAATGGAAGAAATATCATAAAAGAGAACAATGAGGGTCACAACGATACAAACGTCCATTTCACTTTTAATTCTTAAAAAGTGTGAGGAAGTAAAGAGGAGAAGCAACTCACAAAGAGAAAGGGAGAGAGAGAGAGAGAGATGAATTGAAGTGAAGGCATGATACTCGAACGGAAATTATCCAAACGTGCTTGTGTTTGATGTCAGCACAGAATATCATTGAGCCATCTCGAGATGAGTCTCAAGTAAGTTGACGACAATGCTTCAAAGGTAAACTTCAACGCACAAGCTTGTCAATTCGGCACTGTCAAAGGGAGTAAACATGCCGAAAACATCTGTATTCTGGATAATTGCATGATTCTCTTCATGAAAAGCAACTGTTTTATAAATACAAATTATGATTTGAACCCCAAATATTTACAAAACCGTTGAAGGCAAAGTGAAAACAACGGAGACGGCAAACGAAGATGAGACATCACTTCAACTTGTCCTTTAGTGCCTCCTTAATCTGATCGTATTTTTCTTCTTTTTTTTTGTCTTCGTCAAAAAAGGAGAAGAAGAAGAAGCTTTTTTGAAGAAGTTAGAGATGATGGAGGGGAAGAACACATCTGAGAGGACGATGAAAGCAAAAAATTAAATTAAAATTCCTCAACTATTCAATTGAATAATAAACTTTGAAAAGAAAAGAGCGAAATGTAAAAATATTTCCTATTTCAAAGCAATTTTATTAAAAATCTTTTCTTTTCAGACTATGTAAGTACATATATGGAAATAAGAAATTAAATGAAATTCTTAGCTCTGCTTTGGTTCCCGCAATTGTCATCAAAGCTTTTCACATAAAGCAAATGATGTGGTTTTCTTAGATAGATAGATAGAGAGAGAGAGAGAGAGAGATGTACATGTAAAGAGAGAGAGAGAAAAAAAAAGAAAGTGAGATGAACTGAAAGAACACCCTGGATGTAAAGTAACTAGAGCACTTGTCTCTGTTTACAATAAAAACATGGAAAAATACTTTTCAAAACATATTAATAATGAGAAGCTGATGAGGAGAAGGTAATATAGATATACGTAAGATTCAAGCTCTGATCTCCAGATGAAGATTCGAATAGAACTCAAAAAACTTCTGTCATCATTAATTTACGCGAGAAAAATATGAAAGTTCGCCGAAATGATGTTTGGCTCAGAAGGCAAAATAGTCAAAATTGTTTTTTGGGATTTCATAGTCCGAAGAGCAATGAGGTTTGAAAGTTAAAAGCTTCGATTTAGATGTTACCTGTGGATCTTCGGATTCCAAGCATGTCTGAATACATTTATGAACTTTCGAATCTAAACCGAAGACTTTTGCGAACTTTTTCTTAAAGAGCGCCGAATAGATAAGCGTTTCAGAATGCCTGCTAGAGGATGAAGCTGAAGTCGACGACGACGTAGATGTTGCACCCAACATTCAAACGAACATCTGGCAAATTATGACATAATCAGACACATTCATAGATAAGAGTAAACGATAATTAATAAACAAAGATGGACAGAGAGAGAGGAAGGGTAGGAAAATAGATAAAGAGAAGTGACTACAAGGTAAAGAAGTGAAAAGAAGAGAATGTGAGAGAGTCTAAGAGAGAGAGAGAGCGAAATGTTTGAAGCGTTAAGTAGGAAATGCAGAAATAGCAACCAATTTAATAGAAAATCATCTGAGGTTTTCTAAATTATGTTCAATTGTTGTTTACCCATCAAGTAAGCATCATAATAGTTTTATAAGAGCTTTATGTGTGAAGCTGGAAAATATGAGGACTGAAACTGCGTCCCTGTTCATCTATATAACCAACACATAGTGTTCATACCAAAGAGATGCGATAAGAAACGGTATCATATAATAAGAGAAAAAAACGAGAAAAACATCTCTAATTATGCGTATTGAAGCTCCTAAAGAAGCCCAAAAGATGTATGTACGAGAGTATGATGAAGATTGGAAGAGAAAAGCTTCAGACGACAGAAGAATTTACAATACGACAACGTCAAATCAAAGGGCACACGTATTGAAATCTCTCTAATAAATAGCGAATGAAAACAGTGTTTAAGCAGATAATGAAGTCAAGAGTAACCAATAGACAGCCCATTGGCTCGGACAATCTTTGAAATGATCAAAGGGAGAAGCTTAAAAGTATGAGCAACTTGCTCAGCTGAACAGTAAATAGAAGAATGAAGAAGTGTGAGGGCCACTTGGAAGGAAGCACAACCAAATGATAAACGAATTTTATGAGAAAAAAATTGCATAACCATATTCAGTTTTAGGATGACGAAAAGCAAAAGCTTAGATAGTTTGCTTTTCGAATAAGATGTCAGAAGCTATTCAACTTTAGACTCAAAGCTTTACGACAGCCGATAGCAAAAAGTATAATTTGAAAAATAGGCGAAACAAGTGCGTGCATTGCAGTAAAGTGAACTTCATAAATGAATTGAAATATAAAAGTTAACTTTAAAATAGTTTCAATCGCATACTTTCAAGTTGAAAGCTGTTTGTGAAAAGGTTGAGTCAGATGATGAGAGAGCAGATATTCAATCCAATACATCATAGAAAGTACAAGTTCTTCTCAAAAGAAAACATCTTAGAGCTTCGCTACAGAGACAACAACACATTAACAGAGAGAAGGAGAGAGAGAGAGAGAGACAGAGAGAGTACAAGACTTACAAAGAATTCGAATGAAATTAACAGAATTACAAACAGACAACAATGTGAAAATCAAAAAAGTGTCAAGAAACCTTTCAAGAAATTTTGTGAGAAAGCACAGAACATATTCCCTTCTGACCAACTCTGCCTCTATCTCTCTCTCTTTCTCTTTCTTGTCCTTACATCATCAGCTAGAGAATCAGAAACAAGGGAATACCTTAGAAGGAGGAAATGGTTTTTCAAAAAAGGCTCGAACAGTGATTCTTGACATGCTTTGTTGTTTTATTTTTTGTAACAGAAAAAAAAAGAATAAAAAAAGAAAACTTTTTTGTTTTCTTTTTCAACAAGTAGATTGTACAGAAGTATGAAGAAGTATAGAGAGAGAGAGAGAGACATCTAGAGAGAGAGAGAGAGAGAGAATGGTTGAAGACGACTCAAACAACACATCCAAAGGATAAAGATTATTTGTGCAAAAAAAAAAGAAAAAAAAAACTGAAAATAGACAGAAAGACTGTCAAAATAAGCGTGAAAATAGGTAAAGACAATTGTGTTTGTACTCAACAAAATACATAACAAAGTTGAGAAAATTGAAGAAAAGAAATGAAAATGAAGGAGAAGAAGATGTCGTCGGCGTTGTTTGATTTTTCCTTCAAATTAAAGGCTTTTAAATGGATGTGTTTGCTTCGAAATTAATACGATTTTTGGGGCAGAGCAAGCATAATTGGAAGTTACAGAAGAAACGACAAAAAAAATGCTCCAAACTGCATTAACTATATCAATATAATAATGCTGAAAGCTCTGTATGAGAAGAAAAATTAAAATTTGTCACAATGGATGAAACTGCGGGCGAACGCAAAGATCAAAAAATCATTGAAAGTAATATGTAAAAGAGAATAAGAGAGAGTGAGAGAGAGAGAGAGAGAGAGAGAGAGGGAGGGAAATACATATATGGAACAAGATATGTGCTTAAAGAGTATGAGAGAGATTGAGATAGAGTGAGAGAGAGAGAGAGAGAGAGAGAGAGAGAGAGAGAGAGAGAGAGAGGGAGAGAGAGAGGGAGAGAGAGAAAGGAAGGGTGATCTAGAAGCTCTTTATGGAGACAAAATATAGTTGAATGAAGTTAGGAAAGAGTTGGTAAAGGAGGAAGAGAAATGTAAGAACAATGCCTGGTACCGCGTACTTTCTAATTGACGTCCGGAGAAGTGACTTCCAAAGCCATTCAAAGACATCTTATAAGGAATGACGACTATATGTTATTCAACTTAATTGCCACAATTTGAAGATAACTTCATTATAGATGGATGTCGTCATGATACATCAAAATTCCTTTTTATTTCATAAATGTCATGTTGAACAAGACATTATCTTGTTGAAAGAGCATAGCTGCTCTCTCAGAGGCAGTAAGCTTATCAAGAATCTTCTCTCAACTTTAACATGTTTTTTCCTGATTATCCATGCTTTCGAAGGATAAAACGGTTGAGGTTGGTGAAAAGGTAAAGCGCATGTTCATTAGAGGAATTACATGGGCGTAGATACACGTCATTCATGTAAACAGCGGCTAATATTTTTCAAATATTTTTCATGAACGTTCGTAATGCTTAAGAAACAGAAAAGGAAAAGCGAAGAACAAAAACGAATGTTTTATGACCTTCTTGTGGAAACAAAGTAAATGATTGTAAGATGTTTCTCTTCATATGATATACTGTTGAAAGAAATTCTATTCAAGCGTTCTATCATCCAATTATGAAAGTTCAAAGCTGACATCCTTCTAACTATCATCCTTCCCTCCCCCCCCCCTCACTTCTTCCACCCTCCCGAGTATGGAAAGGATCATTCATCCAAAATCATAATTATTTCAACAAATCGCTCAAGAAAATTACCAAAAATGTTGTCAACGAAATGATTGACAAATTAAAAATGAAAGAGAACAATCAGATGTGGGCGAATTCCAAATTTGGAGACAAAGGATCCAAATCAAAAAAGAAAAAATTGTATTTGAAGGGATGTTTGATGAATGAAGATGTCATAGGAACTTCATCAACATACACACACACGCACACACACACTCACATGAACACATATATGACCATATCCATCCAAGTTCACACATGTTCAACCATATTCTCATACATAGCTATTGGCAATCAGTTCAGTTAGTACAAGAAACTACTTTCCTTTTCATAAAATTCAATTTGAACATTGCTCTGTTGTATAGTTCAGCAGATTGAAACACAAAGACATTGCCAGATAAAGAGTACCATAGGAACGGACAAATCCTCGACCAAACATAGCAAAAACACAAACTTTGTACGAAATGGAGGACGAGAAGGTTAGCAAGAGAATACATTCACGAAGATAGAGGGAGGTAGATGAAGGGGGAGAGAGAGAGAGGGAGGCAAGCGAAGCAAAAGTATATGGGAAAATGAATGAAATTTTCAAAAATTCATTCATCGACATAAGAGCAAGAGATGTCTCTACGCATAATGAGATATGAAACGACCGAAATAATCTGAGCTTCACCCTTTCCTCCCTATTCATTGTTGAAGCTTAATATGACGAATGTCAAATGGCTGTTTCAGCTCAAACAAATCAACAAACACATTCCGAGAATGGAAAAAAGGCAAAACTTTCTCAGTTTTCCCAACAGATTTGCTCATTAACAAATGTGAAAATCAATCATTTTTTCATTTTCTTTTGTTTCACACGGAAACACGAAGCATGAAGATGACATCACAAATGAATTAGTGTTTACTTCAGAATCACAAATGCTCATGAATGAAAACATGGCTCTCCTCTTCCCCTCTCACTCCATCCTTTGCTTCCCTCCCAAAAAGGTATCCAATTAGTCAAGATTTTATGAATAAATTACTCAAACTCATTCATACAAAGAGAGAATGAGAGTGAATTGAAGAGAGAGAGAGAGACAGGGAAAGAGAGAAGGAGCACTAAGATATTTGACGAACGCAATGTGTCTATATGAGAATGTGTCTCATAAATGAGATTGTGTGAGTGTTGGCTAAAGCTAACTATCAGATATAATTACATAAGTAATCTACTTTCAGCTTCTTCTACCCTCTTCACACATCCTTTCATCAGAATAATATTTATTTGACGTACAACCGAATATTATTTCTTAATTGTTTTGTGAACACAAAAAAGGCGAATAGTTAAACAAGCAAAATGACAGAATAAGCTGAAGTTATTCATTCATTCATCTATTTTTCTCCAAACGTCATATTCAAAATTCCACAAATGTAACTTGTTGAATAATAATCATTGAAGAATAGCTCATAGAAGAAGTAGAAGACGAACTAGCAGAACAAGAAGATGAGCAACAATGAAGCAAAATGAACATCATTTTAAAGAAGAGAATGAAATGAATTATGAACAAGCTTCTCTTGCGCAATGGCATCTACCGAGAAATGCTTACACTCACTCTCTTCAGTCAATCAATCGTCGTCGTCGTCTAACTTCCACAGTCAAATCAGATGACGGGAGCAAGAACAGGGTTGTACAGTGGCAGAAAAGACATTTTTTCTTTTCTTTTTTTCCGTTCGAATTATCACAGCTGCTCATTCATTCATATTTCATATAAAACAACCATGAAAAATTATCTTTTTTTAAGATTTCATCTTTCTCAGACAGGCAAATATGAGAAACTTCAAGTAAACATATGAGCACTTTCTGAATCCCATTCATGTGCGTGCCACCAACTCATCCTAATCGGTGTGATTTAACTCTGGCTCCCCGAAATCCTTCTCCTCTTCATCTTCCTTTCT